GGTAGGGGTGAGGAGGGTTAAGCGGGGGGAGAACACGCAGACAGACCAGGCTAGACTCTCGGGGAGCTTCCAGTCCAGGAGAAGCAGCTCCCTAGCTTGGGCTGAGCGTCGTCCGTCCCACCCGTGCAGAATGAGAGCTGGGTCCTGAGGTCCCCCAGCCCCTCCACCTCTCCCTCTGACCTCAGCAGCCTTTCCCCGGGGCTGCAGGCAGGACGCTCAGAAGGAGGGGGGGAGGAAACCAGGCTCTGCCAGGCCATGGGGCTGCCCAGCTGTGCACACCGGTCTCTGGCCTCCTATGTCTGCCTGCCAGCTCTCCTGGGCCCCCGAGGGAGTTGGTGCGACATGGCCTCCCGGTACCCCTCCCAGCAGACGTCCCCCTCTCATGTGCTGGCCTGTTCCCTGGCCCATAAGCTCATGGATGCCCTGCCAGGCTATAAGGACACAGAGCTCCATGCCCCGTGGGAATGGGCATGGGGGTGACAGCACCCTGGGACAGCACTTTGGGGGCAGGAGAGCCCAGAGGACGGGCAGAGCACCCCCAGGGAGAACAGGCTCGGGACCCCTGTGGACAGACTGCTGGCTCATTCCCTAGCTGTGGAAAGCACCTCCTCTGCTGTTCTGGTCCCACGGCCGGCTCCAGGCTGACACGACTTCTTACCTGCAGAACCCCGGGGGAGCCCTGTCCTCCCTCACTCTCTCCATGGCAGAGGCCCAAGGTTCCCTGGGCCCTAAGCCTCCCCTCCCTATAACGTAAAGCAAATGCAGTTGGGGTAGGGGGTTCAGGCACGAGGTAGGGGAGGCATCGCTATTGCCGGCCAAGGGAGATATTGGGGCCCTTTGGCCCCCCTCAGGCCATCCCCCTCCCTTCCACGAGCCCTTCCTGCCATCACTGCCCTCATTCCACCTACTGCCCCCGCAAGGAACGCATTCAGGACTTACCTCCTGAGAGGCCCTCTCAGGGCCCTAGGAAACCAAGGCTCCGGAGGTGTGTGCACTGGTCAGCCACCATCTCATAAGCTCTGGGCTGGAACTAGAAGGCCAGGCCCCCTGACTCTATGGGGCTTTTCCAGCATCATCCCAAATACATTCCCTCTCCTGCCCTGGGGCTTGGGGTAGGCAGGGTGCGAGTGACCAGAAGAGACAGCAGGCTGGTTCGGGGCACACTCCTCAGTGCTTGCACTTGCGGGGTTTCCCAGGGCCCCTTGATCTGGGGCTGGTGGGGGTCGGGCGACCATTCTGGGTTCCCATGGGGTACCGTATCTGCAGGTGCCCCCGGACCGCCAGGCGTGCCCATCATCGTGCGGTACAGCTCGGCCATCGCCATCCACTGGTCCAGCGGAGACCCCGGCAAAGGGCCCATCACCCGTTATGTCATCGAGGCCAGGCCTTCAGGTGCGTCCCCATCCCAGGCTGGGGCCCTTCTCCTCTGGGTCAAGACCCAGCCTACTTCCTCCCTCCCTCCTGTTTCCATGTGGGGCACCCTGTCCTCCATCTGAGAAGGTGCTCGTGCCACGCGGGGAAAGGCTGGGTATAAAGCTGGAGGTGGCCCTGTTAGGGGTGGCAGAGCGAGCTGGACTCTTGCTTACGGGACACCCCAGAAAGCGCCTCTTAATGCCAGGTGAGAACCAACTTGGGTGGAGGGTCATTCTAGAAGCCAGAGGAGCAAAGAGCTTGGCCCATGCTGGGTGACACCACATCCTCCACCGTCTCCCTGACCCATGGCTGCCGTGTAGGGGGGGAGGCC